ATTTCTCCAATTTTCTTGAAGAGATCTCTAGTCCTTCCCATTCTATTGTTTTCTTCTATTACTTTGCACTGTTCATTCAGGAAGGCCTCCTTATCTCTCCTTGCTGTTCTCTGGAAATCTGCGTTCAGTTGGGTAAATCTTTCCTTTTCGCCTTTGCCTTTCGCTTTCCTTCTTTCCTCTGCTATTTGTAAAGCCTCATCAGAAAGCCATTTTGCTTTCTTGCATTTCTTTTTCTTTGGTATGGTGGTGATTGCTGCCTCCTGTACGATGTCACGAACCTCTGTCCATAGTTCTTCAGGCACTCTATCTATCAAATCCAGACCCTTGAATCTATTCTTCACCTCTACTGTATATTCATCAGGGATGCGATCTAGGTCAAACCTGAATGGCCTCGTGGTTTTCCCAATTTTCTTCAGTTTAAGTCTGAATTTTGCAATGAGTAGCTCATGATCTGAACCACAGTCAGCTCCAGGTCTTGTTTTTACTGACTGGATAGAGCTTCTCCATCTTTGACTGCAAATTATATAGTCAATCTGATTTCGGTGTTGCCCATCTGGTGATGTCCATGTGTAGAGTCGCCTCTTAGGTTGTTGGAAAAGGGTGTTCGCTATGACCAGTGTGTTCTCTTGACAAAACTCTGTTAACCTTTGCCCTGCTTCATTTTGCTTTCCAAGGCCAAACTTGTCTGTTATTCCGGTTACCTTTTGACTTCCTACTTTAGCATTCCAGTCCCCTATGATGATGAGGACATCATTTTTTGGTGTTAGTTCTAGGAGGTGTTGTAGGTCTTCATAGAACCGGTCCACTTCAGCCTCTTCTGCATCAGTGGTTGGGGCATAGACTTGGATTACTGTGATGTTGAATGGTTTGCCTTGGAATCGGACAGAAATCATTCTGTCATTTTTGAGATTGTATCCCAGTACTGCCTTTTGCACTCTCTTGTTGACTATAAAGGCCACACCATTTTTTCTACGAGATTCCTGGCCACAGTAGTAGATATAATGGTCTTCTGAGTTAAATTCGCCCATTCCTGTCCACTTTAGTTCACTGATTCCTAAGATATCGATGTTCAGTCTTGCCATCTCATTTTTGACCACGTCAAGCTTACCTTGATTCATAGATCTTACATTCCAGGTTCCTATGTAGTATTGTTCTTTGCAGCATCGGACTTTCCTTTCACCATCAGACACATCCACAACTGAGCGTCCTTTCGGCTTTGGCCCAGCCGCTTCACTCTTTCTGGGGTTACTTGTACTTGCCCTCTGCTCTTCCTCAGTAGCATATTGGACACCTTCCGACCTGAGGGGCTCATCTTCCGGTGTCATATCTTTTAGCCTTTTGATACTGTCCATGGGGTTTTCTTGGCAAAAGTACTGGAGTGGGTTGCCATTTCCTTCTCCAGGGGGATCACGCTTGGTCTGAGTTCTCTGCTGTGGCCTGTCCGTCTTGGGTGGCCCTTCACGGCGTAGCCCACAGCTTCATTGAACTACGCAAGCCCCCTCGCCACGACAAGGCAGTGATCCATGAGGGGGAGGTTAAATTTAAGAGTTACTAATCTCCAGGTAAGGTCTTCAGATCTTCCAGAATTACAGGTTTATTTATTTATTGGATTTTTACCCCGCCCTCCCAGCCAAGAGATCAGTTCCCTTGGAGAAAACGGCAGGTAGACTCTATGGGATTACACCCTCCTAAAATCCCTCCCCTCCCCAAGCTCCACCCAGAAATCTCCAGGAATTTCCCAGCCTGGAGTTAACAACCTTATAACATTCAGCAGCTGTTTAACATAGTGGGGTATTAACCGTTTTTGGACATTTTAATGGAGAATGAATGAATGCATGTGGGTGGGATTGAAATTGGGGTGGTAAATTCTGCCTCCAATAGGCCTGGAGAAAAGTGCCCAGTTCCTTTAATAGAGGCTTAGTGCACAGAAGTGGCTGGTTGAAGCTTCTCATAACATAGAGGTAAACCACATCATCCTATTAAGACTCTGTTAAAGGGTTAGAGCATTTTTCTCTAGGCCTGTTGGCAGCCCTAGCCTCCAGCCTGTGTATGATCATTGGAAAGTGTGTATAGAATCTTTGTGTCTATGGGTCTCTCTTGGGGTCCCCAACATGGTGCCTGCCAATTATTTTCAGGAAATAGTTGGGGCCTGGTAGGACTTTTGCTCTGCAAGGCTTCTGATTGGCTGTGCAAATTTTTAAAAATGTTGCTTTGGCAGCAGCTGCCACTGCAGCACAAGGATTGCTAAAGTTAAGCTGTGGCAGCTGTTTTGTGGCTGGCTTAACCTCTTGCAGCAGCCATTTTGTTGCTGCACCTACCACGCTGTGTCAGAATTCCACATATGTGCACAGCCTCAAAAAGGCTGGAGTGGGAACCCTTGGTCTGTCTGCATAACTTTTTAAAGGAAGAAAGGTTCACTTAGGCCCCGGGCACACGGGCTGGATATCGTGGGGGGGAGGCGTGGCTAATTGCCCCGGCGCACTTTGATCCGCGATTACGTGATCAGATGCGCCGGCAGCACAGCACGGGTCCTTCCCTCGTCGCCAGCAGGTAAACGAGGGACTAGAGGGGAATGCCGCGCACCGGCATGATCACACCACGGGTGTCTGGAGGCAGCCCATGACAAACGTTTACTAGTACCTTGGAGGTACTAGTTTTTAAATGCGCATTGTCGGCAGTAAGCCACGGGTGCGCTCCACTTCCCAGATGTTGGGGTGTGATTGCACCCAGATAATCCGCCCACCTTCCGTGCCTCTCCCGCGACAACTTTGCCGTGTGACCGGGGCCACAGTCCACCAGTCTGTTAGCCACAGTTAGATGTTCCCAGAAACTAAACCCTCTTGTCGCCTTCCAACAACTGGTATTTAGAAGTACACTGCCCCTGAACATTGAGGTTCCATTTAGCTTTCATGGCTTATAGGCCCATCAGTGTCTATCCTCTGTTAATTCCCTTTTAAAGTCATATAAACTAGTGACCAAATTTACAGCCTTTTCTGGCGTAAGTTCTTATCTTGTGCAAAAGAATACATTGTCTTGTCTGCTCTGATTCTAGAGTCCATCTGGTTCACTAGGTGTTCCCTTGTTCTAGCATTAATGGGGGGAGTGATGAAAATGTTCTCTCTAGTTTCTTCACATCATGCATAGTTTTATGAACCCCTTCGTAATTGTTTTTCACCTGAACTGAAAAACATGAACGTCTTCAGCTTTTAGCTCCAAGTCTTGGTCATATAAGGTGCAATGAGATTTTTATTTTATTTTAATGTTCTGAATTTTTATGGTTTTAATTGGTTTTATAATGTACTGAATTATTCTGTTGTAAACCGCCCTGAGCCCTGCGCAAGCAGCGAAGGGCGATCAAGAAATCTAATTAAACAAATAGATATTTACTTCTTTTATACCTTGTCTTTCTCCCTAGTGCGGTCCCAGAGCTTTTTGCTTAGATTGTTCTCCTCTCCTGCGTTTTATCATCACAACAACCCTGTTAGACTGAGAGTGTGTGACAGGCCCAAGGGCACCTGGTAAGATTCCATGGCAGAGTGGGGATTTGAATCAAGAGCTACCAGATTCTAGCCTGACACTAATTGCTACACCAACCGAGGTGGAAAACCCTGAAGAAGAATTATCTGTCCCCAACTGGATTGCCAACATGCTTAAAGAAAAATGTCTGTTCAATAGAGGCTTGGTGTGTGGAAATTGCTGACTGAAGCTTTTCATGGGATGGACGTAAATAACTTCCTATTAAGTTGCTATTAAAGGGGCAGGGCATTCAATAGCCAGACCTACTCAGGATCCCCATTCAGATGGAATTTCCAAAAAATAATCTATTTTCTGCCTCTGATCAGAAATGTGAAGGCCTGGAAAAATTCGTGGGAAAACCATTTCCCCCCCCCATTTTTTTCCTGAAGCCTTTTTTTTTCCTGAAAAATTGGAAAAATTGAAAAAAAGAAAAATTGATTTAACGTGGTGAATAGAATATTTTAATGACAAGGTGTTCAAATATTTTCCAAATCATTTCTAAAAATATGTATGGTATCAGATGAATTTAATTTCTGTGCACTGAGGACAAGCAAGTCCAAGGTTACAAACTGAACTCTCCAATGCAAGAACAAGATGCATTTCTTCCTTTAGGAGGTACTGTTGTCACAAGAAAATAAAAAGGTTTCAGTTTTGTTTCTGCATGTGGGTGGGTATTCTGGCACTCAGGCTTTACTAGGCCTCAAAGCACTGGAAGAAAATACAGAGCAACGAAAAGGACTGGAAAGTATATACTTAATTTAAAAAGGTGAAGAGTTTTCATTTATATGATTCCAGAAAGCTGAATCATTTAGTTACATTAGTTTAGTTACTACTAATCTGGTTCTTCCCCCCAACCACAATAATTGTTTGGATACACTATATTTTTAAAATGCTAGTTGTGATAATTTCATGCCAAGTAAAATTGTCCATAGTCATATTTTATGTTCCTAAAGTAACAGAACAACTTTCAATCTGGAAAAGAAAAAATAAGTGTTAATGTAGCAATTTTTTCAATTTTTCAGAAAATTTCCGTTTTTTTCCGAGCTTCAAAATTTCCGGAAATTTTACATCTCTACCTCTGATTGACTTCCTATAATGCTCCTATGAAACCTTTCCACCTTCTTCAAAATCTTTCTTGCTGTGTTTTCATTACTGAAGTGTAAATGGTTACTTTCTAACTTTTGGGAAAGAAATTCCTAATGGCACTAGATTTTTTTACCTCACTATCACCTTGGTAACTCATGTTTAGGGCATCCATTCTCTTGCCTTTTATGTCTGTCTTGATGATTTCCTGCCACTTTACTTGATCTTAAACTCATCCCCTTGCATCATGTTCTTTTCTTGTTGAATTTTGTTTTGTTGCTATTTCCCTTCCTCTCCAGTTTATAGAGAATATTGTGCCGCCTGCCCTCTTAAACGTTGCCAGGCCATTCCTGCCGGTTATACATAACTTTGTAAAATGCTGTACTTGCTGATTTAGGAGCATGGCTTCTCTTCAAGAAAAGATCTTGAAAATGGTCCAGCGTTTCCGAAAAGAATGGCACTTATTTTCAGATTCTGAAAGAACCACGGTGTGTGGGGCAGACAGCATGCTGATGGCTCTGCAGTTATCTATTGCTGAGGTCAATAAACAGGTTAGTGTGACACTGCAATGATCTGTTCCTGAGTATAATGTTTTAGAAGGAAGGGATCTTTTATTCAAGGCAGTTACCAAAGCCTGATGGCCCTCTGATCCACGTGTAGCACTGCTTCTTAATCTGTTAAGTTCAAAAGGAAATAGTTAAGGAAAGTGTAAGTAGAGGTTGACACAAGGAGGGGGAGAGAGAGAGATGAAGCTAGAAGACCGCACAAAGAAACATTGGTTTTTTCCCAAGGCGGGTGGATATTGCTTCAAGGTGCCGAACACACTGGTAGATGCAGACTTTAATTCAATTTATCTAAAACATATAGCCTATTGATTGATTACCAGGATAGCTTGCAGTAAGTATCTTGAAACAATCAAAAATACTACTATGAAATTAGAATGGTAAAATAGAAGTAAGTTACAGTTAGCAGTCAGTCCAGTCTCTAAACTTCAAATATCACCAAAAGCTTGGTAAACCAGAAACGTTTTCAGCTGGCAACTGAGAAATAACAGAGTACATGTCTAAGACCTCACTGGACATCCTGGGCTAGCCCAGTCTCATAAACTAAGCAGGGACAGCCCTGGCTAGTGTTTGGATGGGAGAACTCCGAGGAATACCAGGGTTGTGAGTGACACAGTGGCTGGCAATGGCAAACCACCTCTGAATGTCTCTTGCCTTGAAAACCCTACTGGGTTGCCATAAGTTGCTGTGATTGACAGCGCTTTCCATCCCCCCCCACCCCCGTATCTAAGAAATTCAATACCATTCAGCTGAAACAATACTAAAATAATCCACATTATCAATTTGGCCATTTTCTGTCACAACACAATTAGGTTTTCATACATCTTAGTATGGTTGGAGGAAAAGCTTTCTGCCCACCTCTCTTCTGTTAAAAAGTACATTTAAAAGCTGATTTTGCTACAGAGAAATGTAGTTCACTTTAGCTATGGAAAAAGCCCCCAGAACTTTCCCCCCTCAGTCAGAGAAGTGTCTGTGTCTGAGAGCTGGAGAAACCTTTTATTACTCAGCAAAATCACTGTCCTCTGATAGGTGAGATATGAATTGGGGCAGGACTTGTGTATGACATGGTCTCTGGGCATGAATGTCTGACAGAGACCTCAAATCTGGGAAGAACCTGGGGTTCTCTCTTACGGAAAGCTTGCCAGCAGTGTTCCTCTAAGCTGAGTTAGTGTGAGCTAGCTCACAGTTTTTTAGCCTCCAGCTCACACATTTTTGTCTTAGCTCAGGAAGGATGGCTCCAGAGCAGACTAATTTATGCAGGAGCCAAATTGCTCGCTCG